CCAATCCGAAGCAGAAATATTTTTAGATGAAAAAATCAAGTGGGTGGAATTTTTTGCCTGTCAGTGTATATAATATAATGCCGTACTCCGATCCACATATTTTCCCGGCCCCTGGAAACTAGTAAAAATGGTACACAAATTCAAAAAGCCACCGAAATACCCGTCCTCTTACCGTCCTATCTTTCTTTTACCCATCATGGGCAAAATCCTAGAAAAAATCATCCTAAAACGCCTGTACCCCATCCTAGATTCTAATCATTTAATCCCAGATCACCAGTTTGGATTCCACTATCCAGCAATGCCATCATGTGGTGGATGTTGTCTCCTCTGCGTTGTGTGTTTGTGGTAAGAGTTCATCAACATAGCATCATTTGTTTCCTGACGTGATTTCCTGAAACCATACCTAGAGCTCCACCTGGACAAACGACTTACTTGGAAAACTCATACCAGACTGAAACGACTTCAATTAGTAACCAAAAACTCATGAATAACCATTTGCTTTCCACTTGAATCGTAAGATATGATCACAAAATCGAAAACATGTGTGATATACAAAAATATTGTGATAATCTTGTTATTTTACCTTTTTCGAGGTGGAGGTCACGTCGAACCGATCAAAATGTTTGTAGGCCACCCTTTTTTTCGACTTTATCATATTATCTTAAGATTCAAGTGGAAAGCAAATGGTTAATCATGAGTTTTTATTAACTAATTAATTTTCCGACAGTTTTCTGATCTCAGTTTTAAAAACACAATTCCGAGAATTTACTTTTTAAAATACTCACCTGGAAACATACTATTTATCATTTACCCTACGACTGTTAATGAGTCTTCCAGAAATCTCATGTATGTTTTACTCCTTAAGCAGTGGAAATGCTAGGTACTGCTAAATTCAGCAATCAATCTCAAACAAGGATTCAGTATAACATTTAAAACTATCATCTCAGGAACACATAAAAACAAAAAATGAGGAAAAATCTATCTTAAAATTGGAAAATATTACAGCTATTTAAAGTTAAATTTTTAAGTCTAGTGCATACTCATGAGTGCTTCAACCCTAATTATTTTGAAAAAAAAACTAGCACTTAGAGGAGCAAGAATATCGTATTATTGTTTTACAAAATTTGAGACAATTATCAGCTTATTCTGTAACTTTAATAAATGTCACCACGCTGTATAAATAATGGAGGCTGGAACAGAGGGGGTAAGGACCCCTTAGCCAAAGGGGTAAGAACTGCTTTCAATTGGCCTCATATTAAATACAAGAGAGAGGGTGCTATTTTTTACCAACGTATATTGGCTTATCAAATAATAAATATTTTCTATGGGTCTCTATCTACAAAAAATAGAACATTGTATATACATATGTATACAAGCAAAAATTAAAAGATGGGACAAGCAAAAAAAAAAAAAAACACATGCAGCTAACTTTCCTTTTCTTTACTTGGTATAATCTGTACCTTAATTCAACAGTTACAGAATAATACAAAGGTAATATGCAGCAGTAACATCTTAACATAAGTCTATAATTATGTAAAAATATTTGTTGTGTTTATTTGTGTGGTGTGTGTGTGTGTGTGTGTGTTTCTGTCTGTGTCTGTGTATGTATTATAAGGTATTAATTACAGATAAACTATTGATAAATTATATTAAACATTTTACAATATATGACTATATTTATGTCATATAATCTGATGTGCTGTAACAAACAAAACCACAGTATATGTCGAATGTACATTAAATTAATCATAATTGGGAATAAGACCAACAAATGTTCTATGTTTCAGTATCACTCACTAACAAGTCCTTTCATTGGCAAGTTGGATATTATGTACTAACACTTATTAAGATCTTTTAACAATAAAATAGAGCAAATGAATTTGAATTTATAATAAATAAGAGAAGAAATCATCAATTTAGAAGTGTTAAACCAATAGTTCATTTAAGACATTGACTGCCGACCAATGAGATAACTTGTACTCAATATTCTTGTCTAGGACAAACCATATGTTACCTCACAGTAAGCTTAGGTGCCATATTTTTACCACTACAGTGAAATGCATAGTGCTTTTTGATTATTACTAAGTATTAAAATTAAATTTTATAATAATATATGAGTGAATTAAATTAACTATTTAGACCAGAATCCAGAAATTTACTATGGCAGTCAACATGTTAATGATGATTGGAAATCCTTAAATAAATAATAAAATAATAGGAACAATTGAGAAAATAAAATCATCATTTCATATGTTCAAAATTGGTTGGATTTTGATTAATTAAAATTAGTAAACAAATAAGTTGTCAAGGTTTATAGAAAAGCAATCAAGGTACACAGCTATTACTAAACCTCACTTAATAATCAAAATCCTTTTTAGTGGTTTACTTCCTGTTTATTTGTCATGGTAAAATGAAATCCTTGCAGTGATAAAAGTAAATTGCACATATAATAATAATGAACTGGCATATTGCCGTCTATTTCCATTACACCAGAATATTATTAATATTTTTAACAGAAAATTTACAGCACTAAATATATATAAATACTTGTACAGACTTATAAGTTTTATAGTACAGTAAATATCATATACAATAGTGTTTATTAAATAATAATTTAGTAAAAATCTCTTTAAAAAAATACAAAAATAAATAACTTAAGGAATAAAAATTAAATGCCTAAAAATTAAATAACAATGTCATTATAACAACAAATATTTTTTAAATACAACCTAAAAAAATAGAGAGCCTAAATTAAACTTGATTAACACTATATAATAAGTAGTGTTAAGCTATGTTAACATTGTGAGAACTACTTCTTTGGCGTTTCCTTAATTATTTCATTACAATTACTCACTTCACATGGTGATATAAAAGAAAATATGGTTTTAGTATTTAGTTTCTTGTTTTCTGGTTGTTAATTGATAGTTCAAAGTTTGTACCTGGCAAATCCATAAAGTTATTTAAAAACCATTATCAGGACATCACTTTTACAAATGATGCATTTTTTAAGGAACAATTGATGTTAGGTTTGAACTTAATTATACTTGTCACTTTATTATTTTATAAGGGAAAAGAAGTTGAGGAATTTATATAATTATATTCAATAGTTCAAAGAAACAAAATGCACAATGACTGTTAACATCGGCAAGAAAAGTTTTGAAAAAATACTTATATCGATTAAAGCTGAAGTTTTGACATAAAATAGTGATTAAAATGAATAATTATTTAAGCAAAATAGAATCACTATGAATAGAATTAAATTCAGTCTAAACAACATAAAACAAATACTATAACGTTTTTTATTCTAATAAAAATGATGTCATCATTTAAAAAAAAGAAGAGAATAATTTGATATAACTTTAGAACACATTAAATTTCATATGTAAATTACAAGTCTAAGTAATTAAGTAATCAGCCTTAAAAAAGATGTTTTCTATGGCAGAGGTTCTTAAACTTTTGTAGTTTGAGGACTCCCTCTGAAACTAAATTTGTTTCCAGATACCTTCCAAATCCAGGCATTTACATTGAGTTAAAAGCTTGAACAATAATCATTTACTGAAACTTCTTGTTTATTATCAGTAAAACATGAAATATTGGAAATGAAGAATACTAACAGGCATATTCTGCAGCAGAAACTATCTCTTAACTTTTGAATGTGAGTGGGAAACAATTTCCGGAAAAATCATCTTAATGGTGATTTTAACAATTTATGAATAATACACCAGTTAAGAAAAATGGATGGGTTCTAAGCAACCCTTATAGATAAATGTAGACATTTCAACAAAAGTCATAGAGTGAGAATTTTAACTTTATGATTTAAAAGAAAAATCACAACTGGGACTGTCCGGCATTTCCAGAAAATTGGAAAATAAAATAAGAGATCATAGGCGATATGAAATAATAACAGACAGAATTAACTTGAAGACAGATGTAGAAGTTTTGAAATCTAACATTACATTATTGTAGAAAAAAAAAAAATGTTTTGGAAAACGAGAGCATTATCCACTCTACTATGAATTTATTCCAACCAGCTGATCTACCAATTCTTATCTGTGTGATGAACATATACAAAGCTTTACCACATTAATATTCATCCATAAGGACCAAAAAAATATTACAACCAAAAAATGTTAAGACAGCATACTTCAAATGATAGATGGAATCTAGTTGCTATAACATCCTGAAGAAGCCTGTCTATGTAAAAATGGCTAACTTTATTTGGAAGTGATGATAAAACAGTTAGGTTTAGAAGAAGTCACACCAGGTATTCAAGAATTATATGACTCCAAACTCGAGAAAGGGTACTAGCAAGAAATTCAAGCTCTCAACAAAATGGATTATTAAGATAGAATATGGCAGATTATTTTTTTCTTTTCAGAAGTAAATTGATAATTAATAATAAAATACTAAAATTTTAATTCAAAACCACTATAATTTTTTTTTCTATGCAGAAGAAAAATATAATACTCAAAAAGACCAAGATGTCCGATATTTCTTTATGAATGAACAATAACATTTTTAGTGGTTAATCTAAAGTAGAAGTATTGTTGATAGTAAGCATCAAAAACATATAAGTAACAACTACCATAGATTTAACATTTGATGAAAAGTAATTTTTAAACAGAAAATACATTACTGGAAAGCTTCAGTAAAAGTTGGGGGTTATAACAAAAAAATTTAATTTAAATAATAATAAAATTGATCGCAATGACAAAAAACTAAATTTTTAAAAAATAATTAAATATTCCTTCATAATTCATTAAAATTGAAAATTATCCAAATTTAATATTAATTTATTTTCTAATATAAAATCTGAGAGCAAATTACAAACAACTTAATTTTATTTCAAATGTTAAAAAACAGCAAATTTTCTCTTTAAGTAAAAAGAATGAAAATTATAGAGAATTAGTTTATAGCTAATTCTAAAAATCTTATATTATATAATATCGTATTACCATTGATAAAACAAGTAAAGTCATATCAAAAATAAAAATTACAGAAGGCAGAAAGATCAGTGCTAAAATTTAATAACAGTATTAGCATCATTTGCAGGATGATAATTTATTTCAATAATAAATGAGATTCAATTTTAAAAATGAAATGCTTTTTGTTTTATCTGGTAAGTGTGTTAAGACATGCTATTTAATAAAAATACAGCTAACCATACTATGTTTGATAGATGAGAGGATGAGGATTTAATATCTTGTTTTGATTTAAAAAAAAAAATAAACAAAAAAAAATTAAAACAGTCTCCATAATAATATCAGCCATGCAAGGCCAGTTTTAGTTCATCTAACCATAAGAAGTAACACATTTCTAACAACATTACAACCATATGTAATAATTTTACATATGTGAGCATGTACAAGTGAAATCATATGTCACAGCATATCCCATGAAATAACGACCATCGATAGCTAAAACACATAATTTCAATCCTAATAACTTTGATCGTTGAGTAGTCCCAAAAATTAATATTACAAGTAGACAGCAAATTCTCAATCTAGGGACCCATCCTTTCATTTTCTTTCTGCCAAATGATATATACAGTCAACAAATGCCTGCGATATTGTCGCTGCCATTTGCAAGTGGGTGTTTACTCATGTTTGCAAAGCAGTAGCAATCTAAAATACAAAACAAATTCAAAATAAAATTATTATTTCAAGAATAAACTGTACGATTATAAAAAAACAACATATTGTTGAAGAGAAATTGAAAATTATATGAACATCAATTATTAATATAAACATTAACAAAATTTAAAATAATTAAAAAAAAAGGTGAACAAAGATACTACTGAGCTACTAGCATCAAATAGGAATACAATTGAACCATAACAAGTAAAAGGCGAATCAAGTAGTTCAAGGCAGAAAAAGAAACAATACATACATAATAAAAGTTTACAATTCAACAACATACCTCAGGTTACATTAAAAATATTAAATTAATTTAAAAAATGAATGACAAAAAGTAAATAATTAAATAAAAGAAACTAAAATGTTTTTTTTTTTTTTTTAACTTTTATTATGATTTTTACAACTGTATTAGTATGAATACATCAAGTAAATGTGTACATAGGAATATTATCACATGAAACACGCTTGTTGAGAAACTACCCATTGGTAGCACTCTAATAATTTGTCTAAATGAGGAGATCACGAGGCCATCTTCTTTTCAGAGGCCTCGGAGGGTCATCAGGAATCGAAGAGGAAGCAAGGATAGAAGCAAGAGGATTCGGATGGTTATGAAAACTAAAATGTTAAAATTATAAATATATACATGCACAAATTCACAAATATTATACTCCTTTGAAATATTGCAATTACATTATGAATTATATTGCGATATAATTAGAAAATTCTTAACACTAAGTTTTAAATCTCTAAAATGTAGGTAAACAAAATTTACCAATGCAGGAGGACAAAAACAATGTAAATCACATACAGTGGACATTGATTGTAACAAGGTATCAGCTTTAACAATGAAAATGAGAGGTTCCATGATTCAGAAGGCTTTTGTAATATTTAATTGTATGGATTACTGCAATATAAAAACTAAATTTTGTATGTATAAGGATAATTAAACAAATACAAAAACCCATAATGAAATGTAAATAAATATAGCCTCTATAATTTTTACTTTCACTTCCCCTTTTTCTGAAAATACTTATTTTTGCTAAGAAGAGAGTGGTAAGGGAAAGTCGTATGATGCGCTCACCAGATCTTTTTTTTGTATCCCCTTTCTTGCATTTTAGGCTACACGGGGTTTATCCAGGGCGGGAGAATTATGGAGAGTTAAAAGTCCCACTGAGATAAAATTTCTTCTAATTTTCCCCAGATTTTCTCCGTATATTATTCTATTTCATATAAAAAAAATGTTAATAAACGCTGTTATGTGTAATGTAAACTCTTATTGCAACCTTAACTCATGTTACACTTTTTACATGATCCATTTGGTTTCAAAGCAAGTTACATCCATTTTTTCCATAATTTTTTTTTAAAAATAAGTTTTTAATAATAGAAATGGGGAAGACTGTAATGCAATTGATACCCTGGAATTCCATAAAGAGGTCATAGACCACACAATATCATCTGTCCAAGATGACAAGCATGATACTAATATGGATGTTTGTCAAGTTCAAGATATCAATGAAAATTTGTATGTATAAACAATTAAAATGTTGTGTATATATTGTTAAAATTAATAAAAGTGATTTGTTTTTAAAAATGTCTTTTTTTTAACCATAAACTAAACAGAAATCAGTATTTCCTGATATCAATATTCAGGTTTATCAACCATATTTTTTTATATTAAATGGGATTTAATAAAAACAGAAATCATAAAAAGTTGTGAATGGTTTATGTTATTAGTTACCAAAATAACGAAAAATGATTTTTTAAAAAATTTTAAATTGATTTTTTTTTAATTAAATCTTTTTTTATCAGTTCTGAAAATGTTTTGAGAATGGATGAAACTGGTTTCGAAACCAAACGTCTTACATTATTTTAAGCAATGCATAATTCAGTACTGGTCTATATGAAATAAATGCAAGAACCATATTGCAGTACATTCTCGGTATCCTAAGATGGTCAATCTACCTTCGCGTTTATTATTTTAAAGACCCTTCTTAGTCCTATTATTCCCAAAAATAATGGACTCTTGCACTTTATCGAAGGTTGTCGAGAAGAAGGAAGGTGTATTTTATGTCATTTTTAGAGCCCCTAGAACATGATTGAGTCTGGCCAGAGACGGCGTATAGTTCACATCACTCTCGTGAAATTCAGTCATTTTTTATATAAACCAATCTATTTCATATTTTCTACAGTAATTTCTCATAATAGTATTTTTGTTTCTAATCCACCATAGTTGCATATTATATTTATTAACGAATCATTAATACATAGAAGAATGTTCATGAAACATCTGCTGCAGAGAGAAGAGAAGTAGCTAATTCCCTTAAGCAGGAGAGTATTAAAAAGGCCATCAACACACCTTAGTGATAAACAACACTTTCCTTGCATATGTAATTTTTTTTTTTCTCTTTCAACAAAATGGTGCAATGCTGAACTTGTGACGGCCCTATAGTGAGAGACGATAAATATAATTTAAGCTGTAATAAATGCCACGTAATATTTCACGGCAAACGTTGCAATTACAGAGAAAAGGAGATTGAAGCTATAAAATTGCAACAAAAAAAACTTGGCTTTGTAAAAAGTGTGAGCAAGGTAAAAAGGCTGCCCCAGCTAGTGGTAAGTCAGCCAGTCCATCCAAGAGCGACACTAGAAAACCCTCCTCATCGGATATTCTCCTAGCCATCAACAAGCTCAGTGAAAAGGTCAATGAGGATATTCAAAATTTAAGAACGTCGCTTTAGAAGTATGGTGAGCTCAGTTTCGAGTTGAATGAGAGGTTCACAAAAATAGAATAACACCTTGAAGCCCAAGCCAAACACCTAGAAGAACTCACCTCAGAAAATAAGATGCTGAAAACCAGAGTAGGCGAACTTGAGGTGCGTGTTAACAAAGCCGAGCAAGGTCTACTTCGTAGATCAATAGAAATTCGCGGCATCCCAGTACGCGCGGGAGAGACTCTATTGGTCTTGGTAGCCTTTTTTTTTTTTTTTTTTTCCCCCCTACCTGGCCATTTCTGGCATACGGGGTTGCGGTCTTGGTAGCCAGCGTGAGAGCCGGCCTCAGGATTAAGATCAACGCAGAGGACCTCAACTTTGTGGAGCGATGGAGACCAAGAAAAGATGATCCCCTACCACCACTCGAGATTGCTCGTTTTGTGAGGCAGTCTGTACGGGATGATTCGGTACAGAGAAGAAAGGTAAAAAGGGACTTTTCTACCAGGGATATTGGTTGGCAAACCGGATCTATCTCGGCAAAGAAATGTCTCCTATGAATAGATGTCTGTACTGGCTCGTCCGTCAGAAAAGAGCAGCATGCAAATTAAAATATTTATGGTTTGCGGGGACTAGAGTTTGTTGTAGAAAAGAAGATGGACACCCAGTGAACTACATCGATCAGCCACAAGATCTTGACATTTTCTGCTGACGGTTTGACATTCGTCAACTTGATGGTGATAATTGGGAAATGTTAAGCGTTGCCTACTATAAATCACTTTGCCGTATTATATTACTGTTTTATCATTATTTTTTCTCTAGCACAACTGACGTAATCTTTTATTTACTCATGTTTAGTTTTTTTTATCATTGCTGCTTATTATTATTATTATTAATTGTACTTAACCATTATTTGCTTCTCTTTAATCTTGCAGATGACTATGAAGCGTTCAGGGTACTCCGTAACTTGACCCAAACAACGATCAGGCAAGCGAAAACCAATTACTTTCATGAAGCCTTCTCCTTGGCTCCTGATTCCAAATCCATGTGGAATTTACTCCGAAAGCTGTCTCTTTGCAAATCATCTTCTTCCACAGCTGTCCCAGTCTCTCCTGATGCTTTAAATTCCTACTTTTTATCCTCCTCCTCTAGTAATATTTCTCCCGCCTCTTCTCATATATCTGTATCATCTGCATTTAATAGTGACAATTTTTATTTTTCCTACATCACTCCTACGAAAATGATTTCCTCCATAATGAAATCCCAATTGGACTCTATAGGAATTGACGGAATACCCGTCAAACTGTTAAAATTATGCCTTCCTGAAATCCTTCCAGTTCTTCTATTCATTTATAACTTTTCCCTTCAAAATTCTGTTTTCCCTACATCTTGGAAAAAAGCATTAGTCCCTCCTATTAACAAATTCCCTAACCCCACCTCTCCTAAAGACTATCGTCCAATTTCCATCCTCTCAAATCTATCAAAACCCCTCGAAAGAATAGTCTAATCCCAAATTTCCCATTTTCTCGAAGAGCTCAAACTTTTGGATCCTCTCCAATCTGGCTTTCGCCCAGGCTTCTCCACTCAATCCGCTTTAGTCAAAATCACAAACAACATACATACTGTAATTGACGAAAGAAAACTGACTGTATTGGTACTCCTGGAGTTCTCCAAAGCATTCGATTCCTTAGACCATTCTATGCTCTACATTAAATTAAAATCACTATCCTTTGCCAATAGTTCTATCCTATGGTTCCAATCCTTCCTTTCTGACAGAACTTAAGCTGTTAGTATTCCGAATCAACCCTTATCTTCTTTCCTCACTTTGCCTCATGGAGTAGCCCAGGGTTCATGAATTTCTCCTATCCTTTTTAATTCTTACATCAATGACCTTCCTAGTTCAACCCACCATTGTTCATACCATCTATATGCTGATGACTCCCAAATTTATCTTTCCTTTCCGCACACTGAGTTATAAGAAGCGTTTACGAATATTCAGAAAGACCTAGATAGAATCAGTGCCTGGGCAAGCTTGAATAAATTAAACTTTAACGCAACAAAAACTCAGGCCATTCTTATAGGTTCCAACTCCTCCTTAGATCCATTTCTACCCTTCCTTCCTTGATTATTAATGACCAATCAATCTCCTTCACCTCCTCTGTAAAAAAACTTAGGAATTACCATTGATCATAACCTATCATGGAAACCCCATATTGCTCATATTTCCAGAAGGTCAATTGGTACACTTAAACTATTCCATCGTTCTCGTCAGCATCTCCC